GGGGGGGGGGGGGGGGGGGGGGGGGGGGGGGGGGGGGGGGGGGGGGGGGGGGGGGGGGGGGGGGGGGGGGGTGCAGCAAAAAGAAGAAGGTGCTCGCGGGTGAAAGCGTAGTGTTTACACATTGATAGCCACGCTTTAGGACGAACGCCTTTTGACTGGTCGGGCGTTAGTCGGCGTTGGTTCTAACGGTCGATGCCTCTCCAGCGCCCCCTCTCCGTTCCGCGTTCCGAGAACGCGGCTGCTCTGTGTTCTCGCCTAATTCTCAACAGCTAGGCCGCTGGCCATGGGTGAGGGTTATGTGGGTCGGGTGCGCACGGTGTCTGACACATCCCGTGCGAGGAAACTAGGCTCAACATCGGTTGCACCTGAACAGTGACCATCACAGTAAAACCAAATCTCGGTGCAAGGGCCTCTTCTACCGCTCCCGCCCTCTCCATCAGACCCTTGAGAGGGATACCGTCGGTTGCGTGAGATACCACTCCCCCTGGACCGATTTTCAAAGCTCCACTACTCCACGACGAAGAGCGTGCCATAATCAAACGACGTGTATTCGGAAACGCTCTCGACAAGACGGGGCCAACACCACCACTATCTGTGGCACCGTCGCTGCTCTTGCTGCGGAGTAATCGAGCTTTCAAAAACGGTCCAGGGCGTGCGGTAGATATGTCATGCAACCTACGACGGTAGGCCCGTTCGCCGCCTCGCGAAGTTTCCTGGATTGCCGATATTGAAGCGATGCCACATCAGCAACATAGCTGTTCAGTCCCTTGAAGGGCGAGCCGAACAAACGGGCAAGTCTAGCAAGGGGAAACGCGTGCGGCTCGTGCCGCGCCAAGCGAAACAAACACCAACCAAGAGGCAAAAAAAGACGCTCCTCGACGTACACGCCCAAGAAAGAGCAAACTCGGTTGGTACAGCTACAGCGGGGTCAAGTCTCGCGCACGACACAGCTACAGCAGCATATGCACGACAACGACGACCAGCGACTAGTCTAGCCCAGCCCAACCAGTCTGACGTCAGCGTGCGCTCACAGAGGAAAGGGCTTGAGGTCTTCTGGGGGTGTGTTGCAGTACTGCCCGACGATGCGCGCGAAGTAGCTGACGTGATCCGCGATGCTCAGATCCCAACCCTGCTTGTCCGTGCACGCGAGCGCACAAGAGACGAAGACATGAGGGGGGGGGGGGGNGGGGGGGGGGAATCAACACCCGGCTATGACACACAGCAACAGCAGCAGCAGTGCCGCAGCAGCTGGTGAAACCCTCATCAAGGCAAACAATATCGGTCGGACGAAAAACATTCCTTTCGACTGAGGTTATGTTTCGAACGGGTAGTCTTTCTGTGAGGTTATGTTTTCCTTCTTGAAAAAATTAAAAATTGGACACCCATGTCTCATGTCTTCGCTCAAGCTGTTGCGGAGCAAAAAAACTTCAAGACTCGAAAGTAAAACTTCTAAAAACTTGAGTTTTGGACATAAAAGTGGAATGTATCGAGCTACAGAGTAAAACTTGAGTTTTGGACATTAAAGTGGAATGTATCGAGCTACAGAGTTTTTCTCGACCAAGCAATCAACCCGCCTTTTTGTACGGTTGAGACCAATCGATTGCGTGAGGTTTTGTAATCCGAACGAAAAACAAAACAACAAAAAAAACGCCTCTGTAGAAAGATGCGCCTGGAGAGGGTGCGTCTGCCGGTGTCTTCGGATTTCGGATCATCCATGTCTACCTCGAGAACAGAGTACCACCCACCTTCGCGTTGGGGGAACAATGGACACACCGTTGTGCATGGACCAAAGATCAAGCACGCCGCGGTTAAAAAAGCCGAGATATATAACATACACATATAGAGAGAGAGTGACAAGATTAGGAAAAAAAATACACACACAGGAAGACTACCTGGGGATCGCATGCGTAGTCCTCTCCGACCATGTCGTCGCACTGAATCCAGGGGGATCCGTCGCTCATGTCGTTGGCGTACACTATCTGCACAAAACGAAAAAAAACAAAAAAAACAGGCGGTTTCGATCGTGTCGCACTCAGAGAAGAAACCAAAAAACGTAAACGCGGGAGACACACGGGATCGATCAAGGCGTGTGTGTGTGTTTGCTCATTTCGTGCCTCTTGAGACGAAACGCTGTGTATGTGCATGTAGTGCTGTCGTGTCGGCAGCACGTAGACGGCACAATCTTCTTGCAATGATTCTACACAGGAGTAAGCACGATTGATTCAACCCAGCGTGTGTAGTTCGGCAAGAGGGGCGTGCCCCCCGCCCCGTCCGCGTGCAAGCGTATCCGCTTCGGTGATAACTGCAGTAGTACGTACTTCACGTTTTGTATCCCGCCATGAAGGTTGCTTTATTCGTTGTTCAACCCGCTAATATAGCGCGGTCGACGCTTACTAAGAACCACGCGCGCGCACACACACTCGCACAAAACTGCCTCTGGAAGTGATTTTCAGGCTTAACAGCGCCCACTGAGACTGACATTTTGTCGTTGGCCAGTTGGGTACATAGCGCCGTCGATGCGAAATTAAGAAACGTACGCACGCACACGCATACACACGCACACATCACGGCCTTTTAGGCGTACACATACCCGTCTTCATACTCGCACCGAGATGGGGTCTTGTAATCATTGTCAGCCCAATAGCGCGGTCGATGCAAATCATAAACACAGGACACAGTAGCATAGCCTCCCCCACGGGCGCCCTCATCACGGGCCCCGGATGAGGGCCTCACTCTCTGTTTTCAGCCTCACTGAGACTGACGTCTCTGTTTTCAGCCTCACTGAGACTGACGTGTATTTCTTGGTCTGCCGGTAAGAGTGGTCGATGCCTGTACTACTAACACGAAAAATACCTCGGTGCTGTGCTGGTAAGGGCATGCCTCCTCCCCGCCTATGCATTTGCCGAGCCAACCGTGGCAGCAAAGCGACAGATGAGGCACGAGGTCCTTGTCGTGCACGATGCGGTAGGCCGTTCCCTGTGTTGCCGACGGTGTCGTGAGCGTGGGGATGGCGGACGGGCGGAATCGACAAAAATAATAATAAAATGCGTCAGAAGAAAACGAAGCATTGATAACCTGCATGCCTTCGTGAACAACGGTTTCACACCCTAACCGTTCAACAGAAACATAACCATTACCGGTGTAACGAGCCAATCACAGGCCACCCTGTTTGGGGGGAGGTGATCCAAAAAGTTGTCCGCGGGCGTGCCATACGTCCCCTCAATCTCGCTCACACTCCCGGCGGGATCGAGAAACGCAGAACAAGCGGCTAATACCACACAGCAGCGGGGTACGAAGCACATCCAACAACATGTAGGACATCAAATGATCCTACACCCACAGACGAAGCGACCGCGCAGAAAAAAAAACTCCGGAGAGATAAAAAAAAAAAGACACCCATCAAATCCCAGGGCTCGTATGCATCGCTCACCACGTGCTCGTTGATCCCGTCCGCGAAAACTCCGTCCCCCGCGCGCGGCTCCCCCAGCGTGTACAGCACCACCCGCTCGCTGGCCACCCCTAGCCTCTCGACCAGGTCCGCCGCGCACACCGCCGCCGCCGCCCCGCCCAGCGAGTGCCCCGTGACGAAAATCGTGTAGGTCGGGTGTTTGCGGGCGAGGTGCAGGACCTTGGTGGCCAGGCCCTCGGCGACCAGCGTCTGGTAGAACTCGCAGAAGCCGAAGTGCACGTTGCCGATCAGCAGCCGGTCGTCCTCGCCATGCTCTCGCGAGGCCGCCTCCTTGTTGGACGACGCCCCGTGGCCCGCCGCCGCCGCCGCCGGATCCCTGCCCCCGACTCCGGATGATGGTCCTGGGTTGTTGTTGTTGTTGTTGTTGTTGTTGTTGTTGTTGTTGTTGTCGTCCTCCCCCCCGACTATCCCAGCGCCGGATAACGGTTCACGCCCCCCGAGCCGAGGAGCTGCTCCAGATTCCGCAGGCCCGCCATCAACCCACCCTTCGCGGCCGCCGCTGGCCTTCGCTTCTTGCGCCCGTGAGTCAGCCTGTTGACCCCCCGGTCGTCTCCGATGTTGTTGATGCGAACACGATTGCGATACCTCCGCCGCCGTTTGCTGGCCCGGGGCGACGGCCTCGCCTCCTGGGTAGGTGGTGGGGGCGGCGACCGTGTCTGCCTCCCCCGCCGGCGCGCAGCGATGATTGTAGTGTATCCAAGTTCGTAGGTTCGTCACCTGCGACAGTTGTTGCATGCGCAAAAAAAGTTCGTAATGGCAAGTTAGTGGACGACAAAGCGCGGAAATTCGTGTTGGCATCAAATAAAGGAAAGAGAAAATTGTCCCACTTTCACCCGGGCAGGCTACCGCGCGTGAAGAACTCTTCTCAATAGCAGCAAAGTACAACCAAAGTTGTCTCTGCAGGTGATGCCGATGCCGCCGTTCCAACCCCCATCTTCGCGTCGTGCGAAGCACAGCAGGTTGAATGTTCGGAAAAACACAGGCACGTGGTCGATTTTTCCATGACGCCGTCAGTCCCGCCCTTTGCATCTGTTTAGCCGCACTGCTGTGCCAGCTTCCCTGTCCATCACCGCTGCTGTCTTTTAATCCTCTCTCCGAGGAGGGAGGCTTCCCCTCTCTGCCACCGCAGTCTTGAGTCTCCTCGCCTGCCCCCCCTTCTCTTGCAGCTCACTGTCTACTATCGCGCCGACACATGCACCCTACGATAACTCCCACAACGCCCCACCCAAATCATGCACGCCGCTGGTGCCTGTGAAAGTCACATCTGCACCTTAGATACATCCAGCCTGCCCAGGAGACGCCTTACCCTCTCATGCAAGTCGGCGGTGCCTTTGAAAGCCACACATCCCGCAAAATGCATGCACCCTATATACTCAGCAACACATGCCCTCCCACACGACATCATCTCACCCAATCTTGTACGTCGGTGGTGCCTTTGAAAGCCACAACGATCCTCTCGCCAACTGTGTCCACTCCGACGAAGCCAAACGCGTCCGTGTGCTCGCCGACGAACGACTGATTGGTTGCCGAAAAAAAGCATGCCGCACGCAGACAAACAGACAGACAGACAGACAGACAGGCAGGCGACGAAGAGAGAGGACTCACAATAAATACGAGGGAAGACATGACCGCAAGTACTTTCGCGCGAAAAAAGCGTGTCATGACATACGACAAGCGAAAAAAAATAGGAAGGAGCAACAACAGCAGTATTCAATATTTGTGTCAACGCGATAGAGAGAACCGTCCTCAACACAAGGGCACCTTCACATTTGTGCCACTTTTAAAGTTTTTTTGTTGTCGATCCGCTGCTCACCAGCATTGGCACCCACCCAAAAAGGACAGTCTCTACACACGCATAGCACATCGCTCGCAAGTGACGCCGGTTCCGCCGACGGCGCAAAGCAAACTGTAGAGAGTGCCCACACGTAAAAAACTTTAACCTCAATATTGTATCAAAACACAGGAACTCGGGCACCATTTGTGAGCCCGTTATGAGCCCCTTCACTAACACCCAGATAACAGCCAATGTTTGCCCACAAAGAGGAACCGAGAACCCCGGCCTTGGCCAATACCAAAAGTGCGGGCGCTACCTGCATCTGCTGTATCGCGACCGACCGGGCTGCTACATGTACGCATACTCCTGCTGTCCCACCTCAATGAAGACGAACCCTTTCGTCTGCTCGTTGCAAGCCGGGTTGGCGAACACCCACTCTTCCACCCTGTCGTACGCTGCGCTGCTGTAAATCTGCGCCAAAACACCCCGCCCGGCCCGGACAAGATTTAGGGACAGGCGGGGGGGGGGGATGTACTCATAGTCGTGCCTGCCGTAGTCGTTAGACCATTGAACTCGCATCCCTGCAAAGCCGGGACGGAGCACGCCGGGTTCTCACCGGACCAGGCTCTCACATCACCAAGCGCGAAGCGCCGTGAGATATTCGGCGAGTCGCATGAAGGGTGCGCTGCATCCTGCTAAGGGTTTTCGGCATCTTGTGCTCACTTCCTTGCGTACGGATGACAGCTGCGTATGACTTAATCTATTTTCTGGACAGGCGGGGGGGGGGTATCATAGGTACATACTTGTACATGACTTTTTTATTTTTCGAAATCGCCGCTACGGCGAGGAAACGAGGAAGCACGCAACGGAACGCCGCGAGCCTGGAAAGTGCCGTATGCGTATCATAGGACTATCCAAAGTTGGCAGTCAGAAATCGGGGTGTGCACGTCTTTCTTTTCGTCCGCGACGTTCAGACGACGCGCACAGCATTTCATCACCGACAGCCAGGTGTACCGTATGTATCGATGTACGTGCTTCACCGCACAATAATAAAGATGCCTTTCCGACGACGCCCAAGACAGCCAGGTGTACCGTATGTATCGATGTACGTGCTTCACCACACAATAATAAAGATGCCTTTCCGAAGACGCCCAAGTCGTCTCTCGTGTTGTGACTCCTAAGGCTGCGGTGCTTGTCGTGAATGCTACCAACGAGTGCTGTAGTTGAAAAGACCTGCTACGGACGGTGTTGTTTTAGTCCAAACACTTGATTTATTCGACCTTGTTCCAGAGAGGAGAGAGCAACACGTGTGAAAATATGGGCGCAATAAAAATATGTACACGATGCGAGTGTACCACAGCAGTACTGCTGTGTATGCATTGCAGCAGTGAGTGATGCAGCAGCACAAAATCTTCGCAGAAAAACTTCACTAAAAATTGTGTCGGAATGCCTGCACGGTAGTCTGTAGGAAAATAAGCTCTCGCCATTGCGCGAAGATCACCAGCCGGACAGAGTACCGAGCAAGCTTCAACAAGAAAGCTCAAGTGCCCTGAGCTGAGTAGGGGTCTGAAGTCACCGTTACCATGTTCAAACGCTCGTGCGTGTCATCAAGCAAGTTTGAGCTCGCTGGACGTGATCAACTGCAGCTCAAGTTGCTGCGGATGGGCAAGTTCGCGGCAAGCAAATAGGTACACATTGGTCGTGGAGCTGGTGTCTCTCCCGTGAACATCGTCTCTCGCGGACCTAAACACCCTCGGGCATGCTGCAACACATACTGAGCAAATAAAAGGGGACTCCTGTCCAATTTCTGTATTTCATCCAGAATATCTGCTGTCGAAAATGAGGTGTACTCACCACTGCGAGCTTGCCTAGGCCTTCGTCATACTCGAAGTGCTGACCGCCCAAGACGGCTCTCAGAGAAGCAGCGATAGAGAAAAGGCCAAGATACACAGCCGTACGGCAGCGGCGATGCATCTACACGTAGACAGTCTTGCTGTGTGCGGCCGTTCGCTTTAGCAAATAGTGCTTGTCGCAGTACTCCTCTTCAGTGCGCCAAAAACGCCTCTGAATCACAGAAATCCGCCGACTCCGGTTAGCAGCGGCCCCCCGCCCCCCGCGTGCATCACCCAAGCTTGCATCTTCTTGCACCACCTTGATCACCAACCTGTGTGTTTGTACATGAGTACTTCGTCGGAAATCCGCAACCAAAGCAAGGTCTCCCAAGGCCCTGCATGGGGGCTTCAGGAGCAACTAAGCCGCCTCCGCAGGGATTGCAGCAACAGGAATGTGGCGCCAACTGTTCAGCAAGATCCAGGGAGGTCAAAGATCCGAGTCTCCGTCGCGGGTGCCTCGCTGGGGCATAAGATAGAGCAGGTGAACATGTGCGAGATGCTACAATCACCCGTGGTATGCAGAGGACACTTTCTATTGCTTTAATCGTTTGCGACAACAAGAGTAGTCAGCGCATCAAGGGCGACCAAACGGACACGATCATAATCTCGAACTCTCCTTGTAGTCTTCTACTGCTGTAGTCTAGACTAGACTAGATGTCAAGTGATGGCCTGACTCCTTCACACTAGCAGCAGCCACAGCACTAATATTACGACGTCCAATGCGAACGAAGGCTAAAGAGAGCCCACTAACAAATTTCAAGCACACAGTGCCATCTTTCTGCGCACATGTATGTGTAGGTTGAATTTTTCATTGTGGGAGCTTCAAGCCCTCTCCGTCACTTTTCGTAACGACCGCGGTCGTTGGCGCCACCTCCTGGTCTCGTCCATCACCAGCATTTTGCAGGGGACAAGGCGAGCAACCGCGAGATTCTAGGGTTCTGCGCGCAAGAAGTGGACAAGGCCTTGAGCGTGCTTGTGCAGCGAGTAAAGAAGAAGGTGCTCGTCACCATAGACAAGATTGACACGCAGCTGCTCAAGCTCGAGGGAAACATGCGGTGGGTGTTGATTTGGTTGGATGTAGACTACTACTGACGTGCCTTCTATTTTGCGTGAGGCTCGCGCGCCTCGCTGGAGCTTGCCTTCAGCCGAGGACCCCTGTTTTCATTTGCCCACCTCTGGTTCCGGCCAGGACTTTCCGCTGAGGTTGCCCGTATTTCTCCATCGACGGCGTCACATCCCCACGATTTTCGAGTGCATTATTACTCTTGCACCTGACCGAAAAGTCAATCGCATTTTTCGTTGTTTCTTGAAAATCAAACCCGAGTCAACCTTTAATAGATGAAAACAAATACACAACGAATTCAGCAGAGTGGCATCAGACAACAGAGATAGCAATCAACGGGGTGTTATCGGACACATCGGCACATGATGGTATCCCTCGAGCGCACCAGAATTCGATTGCATTGGGGGGTCTTGCCCCTGTAACTCCGTTTCACGTGCATCGCACAACCAAAGTGCGCCCGTCCACACCTGACCATCCTCACACTCATCGTTTCTTGCAACGGCAACACACAACAAGCAGGACGATGTTTTTTTGTGTTCCGTTTGTCGTTCATTTTTGGCCTCCAGCCGGTCGGGTTCCGTATAGCCCGCATAGTAAGCCCTCTTCCCATCTGGCAAAAGGAAAGAGGCTCTTTTGAGCAAGGTCGGCAATGTGTAGGTGACCCTTTGACAATTAAGGGCCACCGGTGCTTGTGATTCTACTCTCGCGTTCTGCCTGCTGCCTCTATAACCAAGCGAGACTCCTCATGGATACTGCTCGAATTTCGTCCTGCAGACAACTCTGCGACGAGATGGAAAAGAAGGGCAATCGCATGATGCGCGAAGCAAAGCGTACGGCAGACTCGGAGAGAGAGGAGAAGGCCATCCTGTGCCAGTGGCTGAACGGGCAAGTTATTCATTGCCCGGGCATATCGGCATAAAACGATGGCATGTGTGACGGGGATACCGCGTTGACTTGATTCGGTGATGAGAAGGTAGTGCTTCACATGCACCGTAAGCCCGCTTGTTAAGAATTCTGCGCGTCGTCTGATCTTTGTGCACCTTAATTCCCTGAACAACATGCCACGCTCCCCCCCCCCCCC